GCTGTTTGTTAAGGTACTGTTTACAATGCCGATGGAGAAAAACAACAGAGAGGGATGGTTTTAATCAAGAATACACGTCTCTTTAGAAAGGGATAGCGGGGTATTCTTAGAACGCCGAGAGGTAGTTGTCTCTCGGTACTGGAGTCTTTACCGGGAATTATTGATGCGGCGGTTACAATAGGAACTGCCTCTAACTACTTGTAACTCCACATAATGGATAGTCTCCGGGAAAGAAGCTTTTCCACAAAGCTTCTAAACAACAGAGCGAAGCGTTCAATGCAATCAGACGTATTTCTGTCGTATCGCGAATAAATCAAAAGATGGTTAAGTGATTAACACAAGTAAACGAATATTTTTTTCCGTAAAATTACGGTAAAAAATCGTCAATGCTGGCTTTATGGAACATGTAAAACGCATTTCTACTAATTCTCGCCAAGAAATTCAGAACTTTATTCGAAAATCCAATCGCTCGATAATGCTAATATATGTGTTCACCTGCTTCTGTATTTTATTAAATTATGATAACGTGAATTATTAAATATGCATAATTTTATGCTTTTAATTGTATTTATAATACTTTTAATGTATTTCATTATGTAGATTGTAACTCTACAGCTCAACATTATTTAGATATTATATCTTCATGATGAAAATTATTCCTAAATGTACATAAAAGTCTTAGTACAGCTAAAATCTTTTATGCGCTGGCTACGTGTTATCGAAATTTGTAAAAATAAGAAAAACTGATATAGAGCAGCATGCTTTACAGCACTCATTTAAAGTAAATAACGATCATGTGAATTTTTGATCCTTAAAAATATAATTTAATGCTTTTACATATTTTAAATGATATGATACTTCTCTGCAGCATCGTAGGGCGCTTCGGCAAAAAACGCATCGCATTCGCGTCCTAAAAAAAGAGCAATGCGAGAATCGAACGTTAGAAATGATCGTACGTGCGCATAAAGCCAAGCATCCATGAGCTCTTACGGTGCTCTTTCCCATCCCTCTCCCATCATTAGTCTGTATGTACTTTGCGAGTGGCTCCTAATTGCGAGTGCGATGCTCGACGAGGAGCGATCGATAGATCCGACTCAGGGCTCCTATACTGAGCTCTGCTGAAAAATGAATCCACCCTGGACGATATCGCGCGTAGCACGAGAGTATAATTGGAATGGTGTATGATTAATCGATCGGGTTAGACTCGTCGACGAATCGGAGACAAGCTCACTGGTAGCTCGTTAATTACCATAGGACTTGATGGATTACCCGCGCCAAGATAGGAGACGCAATTAAGTGACCTTCATGTAAAGATTAGAAATGTTGCAGAATTCTTAGTTCGCTATAATGTCAGGCAATTGATCGCAAACGCACGCGTGATAGTCCGCGATACAACTGTAGTTATATTGCATCGTAGAAGCTGTACGTAAACAATGTTTTTCAATAAAATGCAATTACATTGCGATCCGATCGTACAACATGCATACATAGATACGTGCGCGTTGCAAGTGCAACGACGCCTTACGCAAACGATACTTTAGAACGGTAAGCACCTCGCTTGAATCTACCGATTGTTTTTCACGCCCGTTGCATCGCGTTTGCGCACGCAATCGATGTATCTCTCCGAGCATCGGTGCATACGCGAACGCGAGTTTTCCGTTTCGCAAACTCGCGATGGTGTTGGGAGATAATTGCTTTTACCGTCACTCGGTGCTAACAATAATATTGTCTTCTCGAGAGTTGCGTTTCACGCGGAAAGGTAGAGAGAGAAGAAAACGCTCGCACACACTTTATTTATGTGGTATTTCGAAATAAACTTACAAGTGCAGCTATACAAATGCAGCTGCGTTTATTTCGCTTTAATTTCACTCTATTTCATTTCGTACTTTGTTATTAAACAAGCATCGCGCAAAGAATTATAACGCGCAATCCGGCTGTTATTAATAATTGTTTATAGTTTCTGTATATATATATATATCATATATATATTCTAGCTTTATAT